TATAGTCTTTCAGGGACTTTCAAAACTTCCCTCTGAAACTTCACAAACAAGGCTTCCTATTGTCTGCCTCTCTCTCACTGTTATCCTCCAAATTCCCACAATGCTTGCCAAGCTTTGAACTCTTGATGGCTTTTCTCTCCTTAAGTTCTTAAGTCCTTCTACAGTCCTTCCCAAACTACAGGGCTAGGTCTGTCAAAGCAATACCTCGTGCTTGGTGCCATTTCTGTCTTGCTCAGTTCCTGTTGCTATGATAAAATAGCATGTCTAAAGTCAACTTGGGGAGGAAAGAGGTTATTTCGGTTTACCGCCCTCACATGTCACACACCATTTCTGAAGGAAGTTCAAGCAGGTACTCAAGGCAAGAACCTGGACGCATGAACTGAAACAGAAGCTACGGAGCAGTGTTGCTTACTGGCTGGCTCCTCATGGACTGATCAGCCTCTTTCTTACACCACCCAGGACCAAGGACCTAGGGCTAGCACACTACCCTTAGGAGGCTTGGCCCTCTCACATCAGTTATTAATCAAGACAACACCCCATAGACCTGCCTACAGGCTAATCTTATGAATGCATTTTCTCAGCTAAGGTTCCTTCTTCCCAGATGTTTAGGTTTATGTCAAGTTGAAAACAACAACAAAAATCAAAGCCAGCACACACCCCAAAACCATCAATGCATGTTCTCCCAAACCCCTTCTATCAAGTATTAACAAGGTAGTTTTACAAGGACTCTTAAGTCTGAGGTGGGTGTGAAAATGCTCTGTTGGTGGCATGTCAGTTGTGTTAGAGAATTAGAGAAGCCCATTCAGGTCAGGAAGGTATTCTGAGCACAGAACACAGATTTTCAGGTCTCTGGGCAGTTGAAACCAACTCTCTGAAGCCTCTTAACATAGAAGCTGACTTTCTGAACCTGAAGTCACCCACCTAGCCATTCCTCACAGGGTGGACCAGTATCAGTATGCTCACCTAGTCTGCTTATTGGTTCCCTCATCTGAGTCCCTCTCTGATCCAAGAGGCCTGACCCCTGAACAGGAAGATGCAGGGTGAGGGTAACCAGCTGGCTCCTGAAGCCTAACTCCACTTGACAGAACAGTCTGAAGCCCGCTGTTCCCACACAGCACTTTTTCCTGTGATGTGCATCTATATAAAGGGACCTAATCTCAAGAACAGCTTGAAAACTGTTTGCTAGAATCTTTTCTGACCAGGGCAGGCTGATCCCACATGGCACAGCAGACTTTGTTTCTTCAAACCCTGACAAAGCAAGTAATTGGGTACCCAACTCTGCTGTGGCCACAGACTCTCCATGGCAGCACAGCTGGATCAAACAGAATCACAGTGCCTGGTGAAGGCACAAAATAAGTCTAAACACCAGATGATGGGGGAATCAAGAAGATTTGGAATAAGAGGGATAAGAGGGAAATCAAGGCAGTGGGAAGGAAGAGCCTAGTAACGGAGGTGCTTTGTGGCTGCAGAGAGAGGAAGTGGGTACTAAGGCTGAGTCTTTAGCATGGAGGGTATTCATTCTCCACATTTTCAGGAATGTTCCAGCTCTCCCTCTGAACAGCTTCCTGTGTTTTCAGAACCATTCCTTGCCTGCTTGGTCTTGAGGTCCAGAGAGACTAGCTCACAGTTCCCAGGCAGTTTCCCGGCCCGTGGCTGAAACCAGTCAATGGGCCCATCTTAGCTAACTCAGGAGCCAGGTTCTTAGGCTGGGTCTTTCCTGGAAAATAATTGTCCTTTTGATTCAGACTTCCAGGTTACATCTCTTCCACTCTTTCTGTGAGAAAGAAGTGACCACTGAAGTCACCCCCATCAGTTCAGAGACCCTATTAGGATGAAGGAAAAAGAGCCCAGTCCTGGTATAAGCTATAGATGTAAGCAGTTGACATGTACCACAAAGAGACTCAGATGAGAACAGAAAGGAGCTGGCAGTAACAGAAAAGGGACGAAGCCCATGAAGCTTGGTGATCAGAGACAACCCATGTTCCTAGATGTGGAGACCACAGAAGACAGAGAGTCTGAACCTCGCCAGGTTCCTGGTCATCAACAAAGAGCCCAATGGGTGGAGGAGGTCAAACCCATCACTGCACAGCTGGGCACTCCTTCTGCAGCGACTCTCGGTCCCCACACAATGGCGAGCCACGGATATCGGTGTGACCCAAGCAATCGAGAGTCTTGTGGGAAAACATCTTCCTCCTCTGGATCCATTGTCAGTATTCCCTGTGCTGCTCTGCCTTGAAGCAGGACACCTTCTTTCAGTGTGACACGGTTGTATGGCTTTCCTGTCTGCCTGATCAGGAGCCCTAGTTGCACTACGGCTTGTCCACGCTCGTGTGACCCCGGCGACCACAGCAAAGGAGATAATATGTAACTGGCATGGCATGTTGACACTGCCTACCCTTCTGAGCCAAGATACGGGTGCCTGTATTGCTTCACATCCCAGAGCTGCGGACAAGATGCCTATCTTCAACATACTCAATTTCAGAAAATAGCCGTGGGGAGAAACATGTCACAACTTCCCCAAAATTACATTGCTCTTTGGTACTTCCGGCCCGGCTTCTTTTGAGAAAATGGTAGCCGTTTCTTATATTCCTTGACTTAAATGAAGCCCTTGACATGCATTACAACTGTTTTGTTTTCTTTACAAGAATTCTCTAGACACGGAAACAAAAACAACAATGAAATGAAAGACTTGGCAGGAAGGCAGGCAGCTGAGTATTTCAAGAGGAAAGAGCGTGCTGTGGCTCTGACAGCTGCAGGTGACTGGGGAGAAGCAGGTGTGCCCACAGTAGATGGTGGAGGACTGGTGGGAACTGCAGAAATGTCCCTTCGGGCAATAGAGAGGCGCTGTGCAGAAAGCTAATTTTCTAGCACAACTGGACAAGCTCCAGTCCCAGCCAGCTGATGCGCCAGTTGAGATCTGAGGACTGCTCAGTGCATTAATCAGCAGAGAGAGTCACTCCATCTTCTTCTAGTCTCCGCCCACCCCGACACCCCATCCTCCTGAAAACATCGAAAGCAATTTCATTTCTAGCAGGTTGATGCTAGTTTTTCCCGGGGCTTTAATGAGGCACGTGCCTTTGAATGTGAGCTCCTGGAGTGAGATCAAATCACTTTGGTTCATGTCCTGAGCCTGTATTGATTAGCTATTATGAGTCCTGCACAAGCTAGGTGTTGAGGGGATTTACAATGAACCAGAAAAGTCTCCTCAGTTCAGGGAGTCAGCCTAGGAGCAGCTAGGAATGAGACAACATGGGCTTAAGGCTCAGGCTCCTAGATCTGAAGGCATAGATGAAACAGAGGGCATAGGCCATGAGCACAAGAGGGAATACACTCAGGGCAGGGAGGTAGGAAAGACTTCTAGCCACATTCTCATCTAAACTCTACAGGCAGCTGCCCTCACTCGGTAGTTAGAATGGCTTTCAAATAAAGAAGTGATGGGGTTCTTCAAAGAATCATCTAAAGAGAGTTCTCTCCCTCCTTCTATACCTGTAAACGTAACTGTAAATATTTTATTTTGCCATTCAGCCTTGCTGATAGGTAACTAACACAAGCAGCATATTTAAGGTGCCTGAGTTGAGGTTCCCGGGCATGTGTGTATTTGTGTGTGGGCAGCGTGTGCATTCATGTGTGTGAACATGGGCGTGAGCACAGGACGACCTCAGACGGAGGTCCTCACCTCCCACCTGGCTTCAGACGGGTTGTCTTCATTGTTTTTCTTTCTGTGTAAGGCAGGCTAGGTGGCCCCCGAGTTTCTAGGCACCCTCCTGTCTCCACCCCCCACCTTCCGGCAGGGACACTTATCATATGCTGGTGCTCTGCCTTTGGTTTCACTCAGGTGTTCACACTTGCAAGGCAAGGACCTTTCCATACCAATCCAGTTCCCCAGCTGGGCCTGTAAGTATTTTGAAGTGACCAATTAAGCTTGTATCATAGCCTTTTGACTCTGGGTTTATTGCTGTAGCTGCTCTTATTTTATTTTGTTTTCACTCTGGAGAGAATACTTAAGCGAAACAGCGTACCTACACACTCAGCACAGCACTCGGACACACTCATCACATTACACCTCATAGTCAAGTCACGCAATTGCATCCTGCGCCTTCTGATCAGCCCTCGTCCTACCTGTTCCATTTATGTTTCCTTCACTCCTATTCTTTGAGTGCCAGGGGGGGGAAAGAAAAAAAAAAAACCCAATAATATTTTTTTTTCGGTTTTTAAGCCACTCTTTTTTTTTCTGCTCTTCTTTTTGTTTTTGTTTTGCTTTCTTTTATGATAGATAAAAATTATAAGTTTGGGACGAGAGTGATGACTCAGCAATTAAGAGCACTTTCTACTCTTCTAGAGGACCCACGTTTGATTTCTAAAACCTACATCAAGTGGCTTAAACTGCCCATGAACTCCAGCTCCAGGTGGTCTCATGCCTTCTTTTGGCCTACACTGACGCACATACACACACACAGAAGGAGGGGGAGGACAGATACATACGCATGTATGGAAACACAACATAAAAGAAAAAACACCCATGTCTGAATTAGACCCAAACCCACAACTTCATGAGTTAGGAATCTCTATATTCATATTCTGGCTTCAGTGTAAGAAAATTTGGCCTCAAGCTATGAATAGCGTCACACAGCTTTCAGCTGGGGAAGAGAACAGTAATGGCTATGTATCCTGGCTACACGCGGCCCTCGAGTTAACCCTGCCGCGATGTCAGGTGTGTACTCATCAGTAAACTGAAGATGAAGCACAGGAACGCCTCCTGTCTAGCTAGGACAGACAGGTATTCTCATTGTCCTGTCAGGCATTTCCATTGTGCTTGTACAATTCTGGTCCTGTGATGGCTTGTGTCACAATCAAGTGTCACTTCTACTCGGGCTACCTGCCTGACTTCCTGACTTCTAGAATTCCTCTCACATTTGGGTGAGCCTGAAAATGCACTTAGGTTCCCACAAAGTCTAGTCAAGAAGGGACAGCAACCGGTGTACGTGAGCTGGGAGACCAACCAGAGTACAGAAGATACACTGGCACTGGGCAATGGTGGTCATCTGCTCCGCTGGGTACTCCCCGAGGCACAGCTTGCAGGACACCAGCGGGTCGAGGGCGAGGTCCCACGTGGGCCGGTACCTCGCTGTGGTCATCGCAGAACAGTCTGAAATGAGAAACATACACACTCAGACCTCCCTCCTGTGTCTTCCACAGAATTAAAGCGAGAATCCCATCTCCTGGTTATAGTGGGGTGCAGTCGGGGAGGGGACAGCAAGTGACTGTGGATGGACACAAGGTCCTCTGAGGAGGGTTATCTAGGGGTTCTTGCCTCAGGTTTGTGGGCAGTGATTTCACATTCTGGTGTGAAAATTGAAAAGGCCCACCCACACCTATCCTTCCCTTCAACCCTCTGAAGCACATCTGGTAAAAGTGCCTTGGTGAGGCTAAGCAACCATGGAAGGTTGGTTAAAATAGTTTCTTCTTGGATTTGACTCTTCTCCTGTTTGTAGTGGAGAAACATCTAAAGGGAAGGACCCAAGGAAGCCCATCTCTAAGGCTCTTCTTGTTCTCACACAGCATGCAGCTTCCCCAGTGAGATGCCGGCAATACCTTCAGCCCTATGTGCTTCTTAAGCAATCTCACTTTCTAGATTGTTCCCTTCTGGATAGTGAAGATCTTTGGCAGTCTAATTCACTTGAGAAAGTCATAGCAAAACTTTGGGCAGAGTGCAGGGAATCTTATGAAAGAAGGGGGAGATAGTAAGACCTGGAAGGGTCTGGAGCTCCACAAGAAAAACAACATAAACAAAAAATCTTGGCCCAGGGGTCTTTTCTGAGACTGATACATCAACCAAGGACCGTTCATGGAGATAACCTAGAACCCCTGCACAGATGTTGCCCATAACAGCTCATTTTCCAATTGGGTTCCCTAGTAAGGGGACCAGGGGCTGTCTCTGACATGAACTCTTTAATCACCTCCCCCTGATGGGGGCCAGCTTTACCAATCCACAGAGGAAGACAATGCATCAGTCTGACAATGCATCATCAAGACAGTCCTGATGAGACCTGATAGGCTAGGGTCAGATGGAAAGGGAAGAGGACCTCCACTATCAGTGCACTGGGGAAGGGGCTTGGGAGCAGATGAGGGAAGGAGGGAAGGAGGAAAGGAGGAAAGGAAGAAAGGAGGGAGGACAGGATTGGGAGGGGACAAGGGTGGGAGCTACAACTGTGATACCAAGTGAATACATTGTAATAAATAAGAAAATTATATTTAAAAAAAAGAAAGTCAAATGTATACAGTAAACCTTCAGTGATGCTCACTCCGCACATTCCAGGACTTTCTCTGTCACATCACAAGCCACCTATGGCTGGCATCCCCTGACCATCCCTGTTTGCCTGTTGCACACCCACTATGCTGTATTACCCATGCTGGCTGTTTGATCATCCATAGTGAGCTAGGCAGCCAAGAGAATGGTTGGAAGGGGAAAAAGTGGACCTTGAAGCCCTCAGGCCAACACCTGTCTAAAGATCCTCCCAGAGACTGCCTTCTGTTTGCATAAATAAATCCTTGCATCTGGAGATCTTAATTCTCACTTCGAGCCCTTGCTATTTGATTTTAAGCTTCGTATACTTGCCTGGTACCTGAGACATTTAAATATGTGCTTTGTGAGTCTAGTTGTCTGCTTTCCAAACTCATGCTTGCCAAACTTGAAACTAAACAGCATTCCATTAAAATCCCAGATGCACTTTCTCTCCACATCTCTGTCTTCTCATGCTAAGATGAACCCTGATACAGAGGGGTGGCACACATTCTGCTTCATCTAAATCCCATTCTGAATGAAGCAGTCAGACAAGAATACCCACATCCCCCAAGTGAGAGCAGATAGAAAAGGTTTGTATCTTCTAACCTCTCCCTTATAGCAGAGGGTTGTACTCATAATGACAAAGACATACACAGGACATAAATGAAAAGAAATATGACACCACTATCTGCAGCCACCAGCTTCAGCATCCACAAAGACTCAAAGATGTCTAAGGGATTTAAGGATGTGGTCTCAGTAAACAAAAGCTCTCTGGAAACACTGTCAAAGCCACACCCGGAAGTGTATCTCCTGGGTGACTCCAGCCCACAGTGATGAACGTCACAACAGTCCAATCAGGAGGAAGAACACACTTAGTGTTTCTCATCAGAAACATGATATGAAGCAACCAGCCAGGAGCACAATCCTGTGTGTTTTGTGTTAGGACAGAACTAGTGTTCCCAAAACAAAACCCATAAATGGTACCATGTAGCTCCTTAACCTCTGTGGGCTTCAGTCTGCACATGTGTGCAAAGAGGTTGACTATCCCAGTCCATGGAAGAATGGGACAAGGGGGGAATCCTACAGAACGCTTCCTCCTTCCTCTGTGATGTCTCATGCCAACATGGCTTTATCACTCTAAGACAGTAGTTTTCAACATTCCTAACTGGTGTGACCCTTTGATATAGTTCCTCATGTTGTGGTGACCCTTCCCAAAACCACAAAATTATTTTGTTGCTATATTGTAACTAAATTTTCTAATGTTATGAATCATAATGTGAACATCTGATATGCAGGACATTTGCTATGCATCCCCAAAGGGTCATGATGTATAGGTTGAAAGCTGCTGATCTAGAGGAAGAATCTCATGATGCCACTATATTCTGCAGTTAATGTTAGATCCGCTGTCTAAACAGTTTCCTCATGTTCTGTCAGCCAAGGCTCACTGTGTGCCTGTGTATAAGCATTCAGTTAGGACAAACTGCCAGTTGGATTCCATGCCAGCTGCCTTTTGAGAAAGAAGGTATCTGGGACTCAAAGAAGGCAGCTCAAACGGCATGTACATACAAGACCAGTAAGATACAATGACCCATGGTGTGGGAACATGGCAGACACACGGAGAGCTCTGATCCCATCAAGCAGACTTCAAGGAGACAACGGTATGGCCACAGTACTCTGGAACCATTCAGGAATAAGGGCTACCAACTTGCATTCAGGGCAGGGAGTGGGTAGCAGCAAAGATGGACCAGTAGCTCCCAGGACAGCTAATGGCTGCAATTCACTTACTCTGCACTAAGTATATTTTCTATTGTTAAAAAAGGACTCACTGACACAGTTAAAATGACTTTTAGATAGATGAAGTGGAGCCTTTAAGATAGGTTAGACATGTGCCCTAATGCAGCCAACAAGGACAGGCTCCTGAGCACAAGAGGATCTTGGGGCTTCTCAGTCTTGTAGGTGCAGAAGGACACTAGGATTATGGACTTCTCCTATCCTGATGGTGTGTTCATATAGAGCATACCCTTATTATGTAAATTTTTATTACTATTATTTAAATGCCAATGTACCCAAATTTAATATTATTATTTAAATGCCAACATGTTTTTTTAGGGACCCTGAGATCAGAGACCATAATTTGCTGTTGCTTGGTTGTTTATGGTTCTCTGAATCTTTCCACATTTAAATCTCTTAAGTGTTTTTCAAGGTTATACTTTACACTGTACAAAGTCACTGTGTTTAGATTAAAATGGTCACTAGTGCTAAAGGGTTCACAAACCTTATAAACAGGCCGGCTGAGGGCAGATAGGCCTCATACTCAAGATGGGAAATGTCCCCAGGGGGCAGCCTCTGCTAACTGATTTCATGGTCCTGGAGGGTGGAAGGCCGGCAACAATTGCTGCTGACAATGTCATATAGGCAGAGGGTTCAGAATTTGCAGGGCACTGTGCCAGGGCATTCAGGAGAAAGGAATCAAATGGGCCTGGTTACAATAACCTGCCACACAGGTAGGCGATGTTGGAAGCTGAGGGAATCTCCTATTTTTTTCTCTCTGTAAAACCAATGTATAGTCACTGCACATATGGAATTGCAGAGGAAGAAGACAGATAATGCTAGCATGCTAAGCAAGAATCATTAACATGTATCAGGTGAAGGAACTTGAAAAATACCCTATTGAGACTGCAAGGGGAAGAAAAGACAACAGCAGAGAAGGGACAGGACAAAAGTAACCTTCCAGGACAGTCAGCCCAACTGCTGGGACCTTCACAAGGTGCAAACACCAAAACCTTGTTTGGTCATGAGTTGTACGATATGGTCGAAGACAGGCCATCTGCCTAGAATGGGTTATAGAATGCAGACAACTAGAGTCTAACTGAACCCAGAGTCCTGGGTCCTCAATCAACCAAACACCTCCCATAGGCTCTGGCCCGGGCAAGAGCAATTTCCTGCTTCCTCCACAGCCTCTGTCTCAGGCAGCTGCCCTATCCCATCTTACTTGTTCCCAAGACTTGTCCCCATCCCCCCAGCTTCAGCACCCCACTCCTCTTCCTGTTTACAGTCTCCCTTGGAGCAGCTGGGAGGGCTTGACCTGTATGGTTTCCTTTCTTCCCTGTCCGTGCTTTCCGCTTGCCGCTTGCCCACAGACAATAAGGCTTTCCATCGAACTGGGCAAGGGACGGGTCAGCCTCTGCCCTTACCTCTGTCCCTGCCCCGCACCTGCCCCTTCCCCATAAGCAACTTCAAAAGCAGAACAGAATCCCACTTCAGGTGCCACGTTTGCATTCTGTTTCCTATGAAGTAGTCTTTGAACTATGCACAAAACCATGCTTCCGATACAGAACATACAATAAAAATGTCTATGTTGTGTGAGTCCATCAGGGCCCTTGCACATACACAGGATGGCCTGAATATGATTCTGTAAGCACTGCACAGCTGCAGACTTACAATAGGGATTTGCTCAGGGAATCACAAAGCACAGTAAAAAAAAAGAAAGAAAAAAAAAGTCTTTGTTTTCCTAATACGAATGCCAAGTCCTAGGAAGCAACAAACTATTTCAAGGGCATCTGGTCAATTACAAGCATGATTCAAGCAATTCAAAATGTTTGCAGGGTAAGATATTTATTAAGGGCAGCTGAAGTTACACAGAGGGGCTGTGCTCTGGCAGAAGAGGAACGGACTTGAAGGCAAGAAAGAGTTGAAAGTGACTGAATGCCCACCATAGAAGACATCTAGCATGCTAATAGAAGGTGACGGGGTTATCTGCCAAGAGTTATCTCATTTCCAGGCCCTTCCACCCAAACGTCTTCAAAACAAAGCAGGGGCAGAGAAAGACACCAAGCCCCTGCTCTCCAGAGTCCTGCCCACGA